GACGGGTGTTACTGTTTACAACAACAGCAGTAGTTTCGTTTGTGTGTTATGTGTTGTCGAAAAAGGAAGGCCTGGCTCTTTACAAAGGCCCCCTTAGACTCCTATCAACACTCAGTGGATTGATATTTGCCTTTACTGCTTTTCCTTGGGCTGCACATGACTTTTTGTGGCCCTCACAAATGTGGATGAGATTTGTCATTTTTTCTCTTAGCGTCGGGCTTCCTTTATTTATTCCTGTTCTCCGTAATAGCGCTGGTTTTTGCCTGCGTTCTTACATGTACACTTATATCCTGAGCTGGAAGGTCTTCAAGATAAATTTGATGGGGAATGTACCATATTCCGATGAAGTGTTTTACCCAGCTTTGATGATGTGTGCCTTGGCCTTTATATTTTTTCCATACATTAGATCTCTACAGCAGTCTCTGTTCCATGTATACTACAGGTTTGTGATACGTAAATAATCGTGAACTCTTACCGGTTATATTCGATTCCTTTCGTGGTTCACTAAAAGAAAATTGGCATGACGGAATTAAATATCATAAGCTCGAAGAAACGAAAGAATAAATTTAACTCATAGTTCTTCAAACCTGGTTGAAGTAACTAGAATTCTGTCTCATTTTCTCAGTATTAGCAGTTGTAAGAGACTTCATTCTTCTTCCTTTATCTCTGGAAAGAAAATTGGTCAGATAACTTAATATAGGTGTCTCCCGTTTTAGGTATCGTTTGTCCAACGCCTTCTTTAGGTACGGAGGAAAACTTAGGCATGGAGATGTCTTTCCTTGGTGTGTGGAGCCAATCAAAAGTATCCAAAAGTACATCAAACGAAACGAGTTCCAGAGGGTTTGTCCTTGTGAGATGGAAGATGAGCTGTCGCTTCAGGACTTGGAGGGTCTTTCACCCACTTTCATCAGTAATATCACAGTTAACGATTGGCAAATTGGTAATGGTGCCGGTTCACGTCACCAATTGATGGCATTCTCAACAGATGGAGCGAAACTTATCGGCAACGATACAGAAAATACAGGGATTGCTGCACATACGTTTGCTGCTTGTCCTCATTCTCGCCTCATGAAGTTATCTGTTGCAATGACCTTATCTGGAGCTGCTGTCAGCTTTGATATGGGAGACGATTTTCAGAATGGCCTTGATATGGTCTCTGACTTGTTCACTTTGATAGGAATAAGTTTAGGAGATGAACTGGTGTATGGCGAACATTCTGAAGAGGAATTAAGTTGCAGTGAAAAGGTGTGTGCATAACTTCAACGAAATTGTGTCGTGTTTTCAGACCAAAGGGGAAGGAGACAACTTAGCTAAACTTTTTGTATATACGCGATCTTAACGTAATGAGGAAGGTTTCCTACTTCAGCGTTTGAACCTCGGTTGCTCACCCTTCTAATATTTAGCTCTTTACAGGAAATATTCAAGACCTTATTATGCCTCATATGACACTAATGAATCTATCCTGGGTACCATAGCATACTTTTAAGACCTTATGCAAAAGGAGCTAACACTCAATCCTAACAAGTAATGTTTTGTTCTCCTCAGTACGTGACACCAATCTTGGTTGAAATTGCCTGCTTTTTTCCACTGATGGCCTTACCCTTTGTCTACTGGCTTGGAAATAGCAAAGACTGTGTGGTGCTCTTAGTACTCCTACACATCGCCGTAGTTGTAGCACTTGCAAGTTTGGCTGCGCTCAATACTGGGTCGACTCAACCGGGAAAAATTCAGCGCTTAGTCAGGTGCTTTTCTAAAACTGTTTTACTACCACCGAGAGCACCATCTATCACTTCACCATCAGTGTCATCATCATTATGTTGGCCAACACGGACGGCCATCTAGATTACTATTTCCATGACTGTGACAGTATTATGATGAATAACTCCATCATTTATTTACTAATAGATAGAATGAGCACCATCGTCATTAATGCTATCAGCATGTATCAAACACAGCTGCACCAAACAGATCACAAAATCTGCATCCTCTGATAGTGCTGGATGTCACTGCTTCTTTAGTTTTGTGTACCACAAGTGAGATAGAGTTAACTTTTACGCTTCCTTATACTGTGGAATCAGCGGCTTCATTCTATTTGATTTTGCCAAAATAATGCTTTCATTTATGTTTTTTGCCGTTCCAAATGACCATGATTCATTATATTTTCTCTTTCAGATGGTGTGTTACTCACATTTTCTACGTTCGCTTCCTTCGTGGGTTTCTAAACATAAATAACGTTGGACTTAATCCTCCGCCAGTACTGCGACTCAGCGATGGAGGTCACTTTGAAAACCTGGCCTTACTTCCACTACTTGACAGAAAACTGGAGAAAATTGTGATACTTGATGGCTCTTGTAACCCTGGTGGTCATAAATACGCCGATTCTCTCCTTACTGCTCTGAGAATGGCGAGGCAGAAATTACACTGCTCATTTACTGGAGTGAATGGGAGAGATATTGAGGAAGATATTAGAGTTAACTTTTTGAAGATTAATTCACAACAAAGGCCACGGAGCTACCAATTCCGAGTCCAGTATTATGATGAGGATGACAACAAAACAGGAGAGGGAGAAATACTCTTCATTGCTCCCAGACACCCATCTGAAAGCATACCTCTTGCGAGAATTGTCACCCAGAAACCAAAATCGTGGGAAAATTCTGATATCAAGCTGGGAGATCCAGACCAAGGGAAATGGGGAAGAAGTCCTGAGATTACTGAACACGAAGCTGACAGACTGACAGGTTGCTGCTGTTTGTGTTGCCATAGAAAGAGCTGCCAGTACATGTCTAACCTTCTGCAAGGGTCATTTCCTCATCACATCACCGCTAATCAGTTCTTTACACCCGAGATGTTTAGCTTGTACCATCGTGAAGGCTATGGGGCTTGTATTGAGGCTGATATTTCAGGTTTCTTAAAGACAAATTAGAGAAAGACTAGCGAAAATGTGTACAAGTACATTGAAAAGAACTGTTAAAAAGGACAGCAATTGCTTAGACAGAGATAAATGCAAACTTTTAAAAAAATCACTGATTATTGTTCCTGTGTTGCCTAGCTTGTAAGTCCTCATGGAATCATTCATTTCGCTCAGACTCTGTATAAACAACTTCTTCCCACTGCATTAGATCACTTAGTCCCGAAAAGGTGAAAAATGGTCGACTTTTGCCTTCGTATTGTTTTTCAAGATAATTTTGTAAATTACATATGGGCAGCATTTGAACTGACAACGGGGATAATTCACTATCGCGTTGCATCGCTGCTTCTCTGGACGAAGGTATTTAAGGAGGATTTTCTCTCTAACAATCTGCTGTCCCCAGGATTTTCTTTATTTCTAAATAGATCTCTTCTATTATAACTATTCTTTTTAATACAAAGAGCACTAATTAGTGTAAAGCTTATCGAGAACTAAACTATTGATGACCTTATAAATATTCACCTATCACAATAATGATGATAATGATAATAATAATGATAATTATTTAAGGTTATTTTTTTAAAGAGATTTATCATTTTAAAATATTGACGAATTATTAAAATAATTAATGAAAACGAAATTTGTTACGGGAAAATTCATTGATTTTCCCGTGTGTGTTATTCGGTACATATTCATTCGTAAACTTTCACATTTAACCATTTCGAGTCCTTTCATTTTAATAAATCAAAAAATGCATAAAAAAACCACAGTAGCTTTTGAATAGATTTTTGTTGTTACTCGCTTTCATCATATGCACCTGCTTGTCGGCACTTTTGTCATTTATTACATGGGTTTTTTTAGGTAAATATAAGTGTTAATGGTCTTTCTGGAAACATTGGTTTTCATGGTAGATAGCAGCTGAGTTTAAACGCGTAAATCTAATTTCTTTTCATGCAATGGTTTCCAAACCAATCTTGCGTAAATAAGCAGAAACTTTTCATTGCTTTTCCGTTTTCTATTTCCTGAGCTGCGCTACTGCAATTAAGATAGGTATTGTTTTCTATACCAGAGCTGTAAATTCGCACCTAAGTTTCCTACTTTAATAGAGTTTATTACATCCGTCTTTTTAATTTTGAGATTCTTTCCGTCGTTGAAACAGATGGAATATTTAAGTAGTTTTCGTTTAACCTCAAAGACTTTTTTCCGCTCCTTTGTGTCCTTATTCAAATATTACGATTTGTGTAACAATAGCACCTCACACCAGTTAGTTCTTAAGCAAGTACCTCGTACAGCTTTGATGATTACAAACTAGAGTATGCTGGAGGTCATGTCGCTTGTTGGCCTGACCTAGAATAAAAGTACTGTGGAACCAAAGATTGTCTTATCCTTGACGTCCGTATAAGCTCGCTCGAAGTGGGTCTCCGTGTACCAGGAAATCGTGACGAGTTTCCGTTCTCGCTGCCAAGTCGTCTCTACAGAATTATTTCCCCCAGTTGTTATTGTTCCGTCCGCGAAGATTCAGTTCTCCAGTTTGGGGAGAAAAACTATCGTCACAAATTATTTAAAAAGCATATGAAAAAAACTGGAGTAATAAATGGATCAAAGTTA